CCCTAAAAATGCTTTATGCTGTAGTCTTTTACCGTACAAACTCGGTGTTTTTCCATAGCACTAGTGCTTGATTTAGTGCAAAGATGAGTGCATTCTCTGCATTCTACAAGAAGCAGAAGTAATGTTGCAAACTCAACTGTAATTTTTGCACTTCCTAACTTTTGAGTGTTTACTTTGGTCTGCTTACACTTAAAATCAATTTTGTTGGGCAAAATGACTTTTACTGAAACAGCTCTGTTGGTAGGAATCACAGTATTTGTAGAGGTACACTAATGTACTAATGTAATGTTTCTGTTTTCACATAAAAATGATGCTAATGGTATAAATCGCCTCTCCTGCCTCATGGGGAGTTAAAGTCTACTGTCCATCTTTGTATCCTTTTTTCTATCAGTCAGAAACTTGAACTCAGTATGTTGACCTTACACTGTACTTAGGGTTCTTCTTTGTATTTGTACCTTCAGGAGGAGAAGAGCTGACTACCAAAGGGCTATTTAGTCTACTAGTGACAAGACAGAGTCAACGTGGCAGAAAGCTTAATTAAGATTTCCTGAATCAGATTAAGATTAGAAATTAGGCATTCATTTTTAACAACTGGAATGATATTAATCTTTGTAACCACTTACTGAGAGAAATGGTGGATACTGCATGTCTTGGTACCCTCAGATTAAGTCTAGATGTCTGTGTGAAAGGTGGACCCTATTCCAATCAAAGTGATGGTGTTCAAAGTAAGGAATAATTGGGAAAATTTAGTAGCTTGTGATTAGGGTCAGACTGCATAATCTAGTGATTCTTTCTGATTTTAAGAGTTCTATGAAACCTTATTGTTCTCTGAATGCAATTTATACAATACTTTTAAAAATGGAAATTCAGCCATCCATTTTCTAGGCTGGGAGCAAGATGACATTTCTTGGCATCCATTACTTGCACTTCAAGCTTTTAAAAATACTCTTTTCTTTGACTCCATGTCTCACAGCACACCTGAGAGATGCACAAATAGCCTGCCCATGCATGTATTGTTGTTGCTAAAGTGCATTCACCGTTCTGTAGTTCTGACCTGACTCACAGCACTCGGCACTGGAAACAAACATAGGTCCTAGAGATCGTAATTTGTTGGATTAAAATAGATGAAGCCAAAGCTCTCTGACCACTGTATATTCAAGTGTTAGTCTCTCACTAATATTCTGGTACAAGAATTTTGTTCAAATAATGTTTTTAAAAACTTAAACACTTTAACACTTCATTTTGAACTTTGAACTTCTGAATAAAAAGTCCGTTCTGCACATTTAAGTGTAGGCTTTTGCCTTACTTTGATCCTTTGGACTGGTAACAATTTCAGATCCTGCACTTCTGTTGCCCAAACATAGCCGAATTTTGCTCAGTTAGTGAGCTGGATAACAAATTCAGGCTTTGCTTACCAGTGTGCTGTCCCCTTATGAAACCCAATTCTGTATTTGACCCTGTAAGCCCGAACTTACATCTTCTGGATGTCACTCGCTTAGAAGCATACCATTTGTGCTACAACAGTGACACTGCTCAGAATGACACAAACACTGCAATGCACGAATGTAAAGAAAAAATAGTTAGTGAAGATTCAAAGACACTGCTTGTTTTTAAGTGGAATATGAGAGTTAGGTTAGCAGTATCAGAGAAGGTACCTTTGATCCACCACTTGAGTAAGAATAAATGGAAAAAAAAAAAAAAAGGCACAATAATCCAGATATGTGAGGCAGTTAAAGGTAAGAACCCATAAGATAAGAACTTCATAAAATTGGAATTGTTATTATGGTAGTTTATATAGCAGGTCATTGTGGTAATTCTTATGAATAACCACGAGTAAATACATAGGTGATTTAAAATTTCCTTGCATTGTGTTACATAATGAAACATCCTTTCCCCACATTGATGGACTTATTTTTTCCTTCACTAATCCTCAATGAATTTCCAACTCCAGACATCTTTAATGAAACTCTTGGTATGGTGACTGGGTGTTATATATTTGATTTTTTTCCTTCGGTTCAATTTAGAGTCTTCACAATGGAATTCTTCAGCACTGTGTTTGTGTGTGTGGGGTTTTTTTAAGCTTGTTAAGCTTTTACTGCATAATAATGTACAAAAATAATAGAGGTTGATAATTTAAAGAACTTTTTATGAATTGCACCTTCACAAGATTTTTTTTCCCTGCTCTTTCCACAGGACATTACCCAAAACTAGTGTTTCACTTTCAACTCAAGAGAAACATCCTGTATTTTATACTAGAGACGTATGTACCATCAATCCTACTGGTTGTGCTCTCCTGGGTATCGTTTTGGATAAGCCAGTCATCAGTTCCAGCCAGAATCTGCATAGGTGAGAAGCCGAAAAAACAAAACAAGAGTTGGATCATTAAGATGCTTTCTTTATTGCCTGTACATGGTATCCATTTCCAGAAGTTGCAAATGCTTCTGAGTTTTATGGAATTACTTTTCTGGTTTGCCATCTGCAGTACATCATGCGGATTCTGCTTAAAGCCGTGCTATTCTTTAACTAAGAAAATGTCTTCGGGAGCTACAGGAGACTTGGAGGCAGGGGAGGCTACTGAAAGCAAAGGAAAACTCAGTCATTTTGAAAATAATTTCAACATATTCAAACACATGGCATGCACAGACAGAATTGTGAGGCTTTTGTGAGGGTTTATGATGCATACTGATTAGCTCATGAATAATAAGAGAATTATAAAAGATAAAACATAATTAATTTCAAATAAAGGAGATTCTGAAAGGGAAAGAATGCAGATCTGTTCTCATCAGACTGCAGTTGGTGTGGGGAAAAACACTCCTACAGAATAAGGAGGAAAGATTTCACATTGAAGTGAGACCAGTGGGCAACTACACCAAGCAAAATGACATCTTGAATGATTTAAAAGGAGCATTTGCATAGTATTGCAATAATAATGAGTTAGTCATGAATGTACATTCTATGACACCAAAATACCTCATTTTAATTTCCAATCTTCTCAGCTTTACAAATAGACTTCATGAGTGTTTTTAAGTGTGTAACTTCAGAATCACAAGTTCATGTAAAACTCTTTCCAAAGCATGACCCGTTAAATGCTGTGGCATACTAGGAGTTCACAGAGCCAGGAAAACCCGTCTTCTAGCAGTACAGTGCCTCATTGCCATCCTTGTTTTATGAGAACTTACATTATTGTGTTCCACAGGTGTTACCACAGTCCTTACTATGACAACACTGATGATGGGAGCCAGGACTTCACTCCCAAATGCTAATTGCTTTATTAAGGCAATTGATGTATACCTTGGTATCTGCTTCAGTTTCATCTTTGGAGCACTCTTAGAGTATGCCGTGGCTCATTTCTACACTCTGCATAGACTCAGCTCAAAGGAACTTCCAAAGGTATTTTTATTCTTTGATTGTTGACCTACACAACAGACTTCAGTTACACCTGCTAAAGAGAATGAATTATCTTACGTAACACTAGTGGTAAATTAAGGAATTTTCTATTTTAGCATAAAGAGAGTGAAAACAGAATAACCTTGAGGGGAAAAAAAAAAAGTATTATTGTGTACCTGGAACTTTTTGGAAGAAATCAAATTGAAACAGCCTTCCACAATGATTCTCTCTTTTGGCATGTACTTTATGTCCATTTATCAAAGAATGTGCTTAGACGTATCACAAAAATCATAGGTACTTCTTGTCTCTCCAAAAATAGCATATACTTACTTACAGTTCAAAAATTAGACTGAGCTTGGTGACTTGATCTTATTGCAATACAGCAAAAAAGAAAAAAGATTGTATCACATTCCATTTATGACACCTTCTGCACATGCATGGTACATGAGTCAGTTTACTAGCAGGCAGGTTCACATATTAGGTGTACCATATCCCTGCAGACTTCCAGTTAGACCTTCTCTTTCAACAGTTGCAGCTGAAGCTCAGATTTGGATTCACTTTCTATTCTGCATTGTTATTATAGCAGCAGTTTTTGCTGCTCTGATGAGCTTGTCACAACTCTGAAATACTGTGAAATATATTTAAAATAAAAAGGGGTCAAATCAACATAGGCACTGGTGGTTGTCACCTGGCTGAAATAGTCAGGATGGGTTCATGAAGAAGTTTTGTCACATCGTTTATCTCCAGTGTTTCGCACTGCTTTCATAAGCAGTGAAAGAAATCACAAGCAAGTTGGAAGCTAATTATCTTGCAGCTTTTAATTACGGAACTGAATCTAATATGCGTGATAGAAAAGACAATTTAAAGCACCTTATGAAATTTCTGGATGAAGAGAAAAAGGTCAAACATGGAAAGTGAGAATAACAGAAAAGTAAGCATGAAAAAGTTTGATCAAGTGCTGTAGGGATAAACAGCCAGAAGAAGAAAGATTGTTCTCGTTTGGCTTAAATAGTTAACAGAGCTTCACAAATGCCTAAGCAAAGCTTCTCGGTAGGCTCAAGAAACAGGATATTGAGTTGGAGAATCTTAAAAATAATGAAGATCAACCAAGATGTGGGGTTTTTTTGTGCCTAGATGGTTCACTGTTAATATGGCATTTGGCTGTTTGGATGAGAGAGAGGTTCTGCAAATGCATGTGAATATGTTCAGAGCTGTCATTAGGTCTAGGTGTGTGAAGGACTGAAATACTAACACGAAGCTGAGACACCCAGTGGGTTTTAAAAGACAACATCTAATGGGAGAATGTCTCCAAATGGGCAAACACTTGTTTCGAATGAGGATTTGAGTGGAAAGCCTGAAAGTAATTATTCTTGGCAAGGTAGCATCAGTGACAATTCCCTCTGAGCATATCCATCTTGTGAAGTAAGTGGTTGTCATTTTGCTGATAGAGCAGGGGGAAAAAAAAAAGCTTATTGAAGTTTTGGGTAAGAAAGTAAAGTGGTTCAGTGCTTGGATAATAAAGTATCTTTAGCTCTGTGAAGGGCATGTATGACTGCCCTTGCCTTTGCCTGCCTGTGTCAGATGCCCTTTCATGTGGGGCACATGTACTAGTGCTTGCAGGTGGGGCAGACATGGGAACTCGTGGACTTGAAAGATGTGCGTGGAAGTAAATGGAGGTACGGCCCTGAAATGAGGAAGGAAGACTTAGGATACAGTTTTGTGATGGGCTTAGTTACTGAAAGGGATGATCTGTCACTTCAGGCATGTTTCCTGCCTTCTGCTGTGCATCAGGAGTGAGCAAGCCAGTCTAACTCACTTCTTACCGGCACAGACACAAGCATATAAGGGAAGGGGCAGTTGGTTGGTCCTAGGTCAACTCAAGACTCTGCAGAATAAGGAAAATGCCTGTTGTCCTTTTCCCACTGTAGCCAAGGACGAGCACCACTCACTGAGCGGGGTGCCATGGAGAGCACACCTGACTTGTATTTGTCATTTCTCACTGTAAAAACCAAAACATTGCAAGGACAGAAGTAGCAGCTAAAATCTCATGTCACTGTCTAGCAGGTACTTAACGAATTTCTCTGTGAGTATTGTCACTGTAAATGTGTTCTTGTCATTACGCATTCTCTTGTGGACATTGGTTAATTAGAAATCTTACTTCCTAGTTTTTTATCCCCATATGAGAGCTGAGACAAAATTTGCACTCAGAATTATGGCAATAAATGTCGGAGGTGCATTGAAAACGTAACCCTCTGCCTTGTACAGCAATTAGTTGTACTAGTTTGCTTTCTGGTTTGCTCTTTAAAGTAGGTGGGCACTGGCATATCATGTTCTTTAGAAGCCTTTGGGGTCTCCAGGTTAGGATATAAACTGGTGGAAGAGCTCATCATATCCCCACGCTTGCAGCGTCTCACATCATGTGAACTGGGACCCACAGAGACAGGTTCAAAGCTAATGGTAAAAGCAGAGGAACCACCTGCTGCACGGGAGGTCGGACAAAACGTGCCGTTCCCATCAACTGCGTAACAAACTGCCTAAACGGAGAGCTTGCCTCTCCAAAATCCTGAGTTTCTTCTCTTTTATACAAAGGTGTGAATTGTGCTCTCCTATAAAACAGAGAAATCCTCCTTGGCCTTCATCTGTCTTTCACCTAAACGTCTCCCTTTTGGTCAGAAAGGAGGAAGGTTTGAAAACTGAAAATAAGGTTATAAGGACAGCGTTCAGCCTACTTGGCACTCCTGTGCAAGCATCGCGCAGTCTTTCTGAACACTGAAGAAGTTCTGGGTGTGCAACACTCTAGGTTGAATATTTTTAATCTTGAGCAGCTTTATTATTCAATGGAAGCGACAGCTCTCCTCAATTCTGTTGGCTGTTAGATGTCAGCAAACACCTGGGTTAGCATAAACAGCAGCCACAGTAGCACGTGCCATGTACGGTGCTTTTCAGCTGATTTACCTTTCCTGGATGTTACCAAATTTGTATCCAAGCAGAGCCCTCCTTAGTGCCAGCTGCCCCTTCCTCGCCGACAGCTGGAATCCAGAGAAAACTCAGCGTGAAATTTAAAATTAGAGCTGCAGTTGAACACTCGCCACACTTTTTTTTCCTTTTTTTTTTTTAAATAATGTAAACCAGCCTAGTCTTTCATTACATTTGGTTCTCCATAGCGAGTTGGAAAAGTCCCTTGATAGTCCCAGTTTATAAGACTGCAGGTTTTTATAAACTAGCAGTTGTGGTTCTCGTCTAGACTAGCTGCCTCCTTTCCAAGCGATGTGATACAGCACTTTTGCTGTAAACTCGTCTCAGTTCCGCGAGAGCCCTGCCTTGTAACGCTGCAAACAGACTCAAGTATATATGCACAGGGTACAGTGTTTTTTACTGAAGTAATAACTGCCTCTTGGGGAGTAGAAAGGAGTTAAGAACAGCCTAATAAAGCAGCAGCCTCCTGAGAATTGTTCTCGTGTGAAAAGAAAAATGGCACGTACGCAATGTCCTTCCATGCTCTGCAGTAAAACTAATTCTGTACAAGTTTTAGCCAGCCCTACCTGAGAGACAAATAGACTTTTACACTGAAAAATGCCCTGAATCCTGCCAGTTTTGAAGTACGGATGTTGTTTTGCTCTTTTTTCCCTTTCTAAAAAATGAGAGCGGTGGAAAAAAGTCAGGACTCTTCTGGCAGGTTTCTTTATTTTATTAACTTCTGAAGCGCCGAGCGCATTCATTAGGCTGTCGCGCCGGTGCCTTGTTTCAAGTGCCAGACGCTGCTGACAAAGGGTCCTCTGCCATCCCCAGCGCTTCCCGCGGCTGCGGGAGCTTTTTGAAGCGGAAGATCTAGGTGTTTAGAACAGAGTTAGGCCCCAAGTAAAACGCCAGGTTTTGAGTTTTAGTACTGCCCTGGGGACTGTTTGAGGTTCAGACTGGATTTTTATGGACTGATCCTTTTAATCCTTTATAGGCAGATTTTTATCTGCCATTGGTTTAAAAATTCTCACGTAGCTGCGGGAGGCTAGCTGGAGGATGAGCGAGGTTTTGTCGCCGGTGTATTTTTAGGTTGACACGTTGTGTTGAGCTACGTTTATCTCTCTCAAATAAAATATACTGGATTTTCTTGGCAAATTGAAAATGAAAAGCAGTAATAATCCCCTTTTTAGCTCCATCTGTTCTGCTTCACTGATTTACAGTAGTCTGAGGACATTGTCCAGACTACACTTTAATTTTCAAGGACGTTACTAATTTTAGATGAAGAAAGGCCCAAGAAATGTGCTGTCTACCAGTACCCTGGGCAGAAGAGCAATTCTGCAGTGGCATGGAGATCACTCAGGTGGCTTAATGAGCTTTCTGTGACTTTAATAGCTCTGATATTTCTAAATGAGAATTTTTTGTGGCTATACATAGGGCTGTACATCTTAACTTTTCTAAAGTTTATCTAATCTATTTCTTCCCATGATGCAAATGGAAAAGTGAATTGGTTAGAGGAAAGAGATTCTGTGTTCTAGATTTCATAAATAAATTTTTGTAATTTTCTTGCTTGTGTTCCGCTCACTGATTTGGAAGGTGATAAAGTACAGGGAGAAAATTAAAATTATGTGTAGACCTGCCAGCATTAAAATGACCCGTCCTCCAACCATGCAAATTTAGGTTTATTTTAGATACAAAGTTGGAGAAAATTTTTGTGGCTTGGATCTGCTGGTATCTCTGCAATATCCCAAACCAAACTAAATGTGCCAGAACTTTTAAGAAAAAGTTTGTGTTTGGAGCTGAAGCTAATGTCTACTCCTGTGTCATCTGAGTGAGTAACAGAAAACCTGCTGACTTCAAAGGGTGAAGATTTCATACATGGCTCCAAGCCATTTCTAATCAAAGAAGCAAAACCCACCAGAAGGCTTATGCAACATTCTCCAAAGAGCTGCCTTGATGCAGTGAGGCACATAAAAATGCTCTTAACCTTAGCATAACTTTGAACTTAAAGCATGGATTTCAGGACTTGAAAGAAAGTAGTATGAGCTGTTTAGTATTGAATTAGTTGTGAGGCTTGTCTGTCTTTATGATCCTCTCTTTTTGTGCTTTTTTGTTTCCTTGGTTGTTTTTTTTTTAAGTAATTTGATTATCATCCCACAGCACTGGGAACAGAGTAGCCAACTGCACAGAAGGAAAGTGTCTTCTATCCTGGGATGCTTGATTTGGGGTGCAGAATTTAATTTAGACATTGACTAGCTGGTCTGGCAGCTCCCTCACCTTCTGCATCTCCAGACCGGGGCTTTGCTTTACCCACTTTCTAGACAGTGACCTTTGCCAGTGTTTTCCTTGAGCAGAAGGCAGCTTACTCTTGTGCGTTTCATGGATTGCCGCTGTACCGAGTAAAGCTTAGTGGGTCATATTTGAACAAATCCAGCTTTGCTCGACTGTCTTACGAAAGCTTTTGCAGTAAGATGTTGTTTAAGTCAGTGTTTTTTCCTGTAAATAGAGGCCTTGAAAGCTGAAAGGAGCTGTCTTGTGCGTGTAGGTGCTCGCCCTTCAAATCAAGTGGTGAGCTACAGCAGGCGCCCTAAGAAAAATCCTATTATTTGCTGCAGCTCTGAAGTAAATAGGTGGTGAAACATGCACTTAGGTACCTGCTGGTTTGTTTCCTATCAGGATGAGGATGAAGAGGCTGAAGATGAGAGGAATGGAGTCCTGGCAGCAGTTGCTAACAGTTGCAGTGCCCCTGACAATGCGAACAAGATTGATTTGAACAAGAACAGCAAAACCAGCATGGACGGAAAAAGGGAGAGAAGTAAACACGGTGGGTGTAGTTCAGCAATGTCAGTAATGAAAAGACTTTTCTGTGTCTTTGATTGCTTCCATGTTAAAAATCCTTACCACATAGACAACTATGCCAGATTTTCTTTCCCCTTATCATTCATCATAATTAATGTATTTTATTGGGTATATTATTTGTATTTCTGAAGAATTTAATGTCTAAAATTGGTTTAAAGTTTAGAAAGTGGATATGGGAGGGGAAGTTGCAGAAGAAAAAAGAAGTTGCATTTGGATGAAGGGATGTGAAAGGACATGACATCTTTTCAAGCCTTTCTGCAAAGTTTCTTGTTAACTCACTTCTCCACTGTTACATGACTGTCATCCAAAACTGACTTTCCTATTAGCATGCATGTCCCATATTAAACTATGTATCAAAGGCCAATAAGTCCTTTTAAAATATTTTAATTGTCAACTTTGTAAAATAAGAGTTTTACTTGTTTCTGAACTGCATTGAATACATTTAAAAATAAAAACAATGAAGGGTTGTTTTCCTGCTATGCTTTTAGTATTCAGTTCCTTCTAGCTTTGTCAATAAAGCATACATTTTCCAGATTATATAAGAAGATGTATAATTGCAGATCAAAGTGTCTTTGCTTCATAGCAAGAAACAGCTTTGAAGGCATGGGCTACCAACACAAACCAAACGATATATTAATCTTTGTAAGGTCACAAATATGTATTGACACTCTTCCCTACATCTTTAGGCAGAACTGCCGTAGGCGTCAATGACTTTTCTGAATAAGAATATAGAAATGGATTGGAGCCAAAAGGTTTAGATCTAGAGAGATGTTTTTCCCAGGTGAGGACATACTTAGGTGCCAGCCAATCCTTAATGGAATATGGCCATTTATCCTGACGTTTGTACTCTGCTCAGTCACAACTGTCTGAGTAACTATTATGCAGAAGGAAAATTTGATATGCTTAATTTTCAGTTTAGCAAATTCCTCTTGAGTCACTTGCCATTAAAAATTTCATGTAAAGATGAAAAAGCTTACTTCTTGAATTGAAAAGAAAACCCTGGATATGCAATAATAACTCTTGATGAAAAAAGTGGAAGTTTTACACAGATGAAATTATGACCCACGTGAGAGAATGGTTACACTTGATGAAAAACCATAACAGTCTTTCTGAATGGTTACTTCACTGACAGATATTATAAAAGTTATTGATATGGCAACCTGTTTCTTCTACTGCAGTCTGGAACTTTAGAAGCACTTATTATTATACCCTTTTTCTGACCATAATATATGTGTGGGTTACACATGTATATATGAATATGTATATGCATTTTTATAGACTGTGTACCTTGGTATTTCTGATGATCTGACACACAGCACACACAAATGCATTAAAAATCCCCCATAATATTAACTCTTTGATACACCTTTCTACCAATGCTGCCTGTGAAGAACACCATTACATGAGAAGGAGGAGAGTGCAAAATATCCCTGTGGGTTAGATTTGCCACTGCTCACAACTAAATCCATAAAAATCATTGCACACTGGTAAACAATTATTAGGTCAATAAAAATCCCCTCAGTATTTTAAATTTCTAAGCGAGTTGAGTACTGAAAGCTGATTTCTCTACTGTTACCAGCAATGCATTTTGCAAGGCTTATTGAGGCAATGCGACTTCAGGAGCAGTCTAGTGGCTTTTGGTACCTTGTGGCTTAAAAAATATAAAGGCTTTAAAACCTTAAACCCTTTATTCAGGAACAGATGCTATGAGATTTTTTTCTTGGAAATGAGGTGTGGAACTGGACTCGGATCTCTTTCCAGTTCTTACTCTCATAAAATTCACTGAAGGCATATGGTAAAGCTCTGTATTTAGTTTCTTAAATTTGAAGTTTACTTTAACTCTGAATAGTTATCCACACGTTGCAAGTTACCTATTGCATTAACACTAAATTTGGGGGTTACATTTACTATAAGCATTAAGGTAAGCATTTAGAGTTTGGTAGGTTCCAATTAACTTGGAGATAATTCACCTTAAATATTCTTTTAGAAAGCTGTTGAAGGTCTTGACAGCTTTATTTACAGTGCATTAACTGATAACAGGGTCTGTTTTCCCACTGATGTGCTAATTGTAAGCAGAGTTAGACACTGAAGTCTCCCATGTTTTCATGGAAGAATAGACTGCACAGCCAGATTATTTATTATTCTGTTTTGCATAATTCTGCATTAATTGGTAATTTGAAAAATATAACTTAGTTTGACATGAATTTGTGTAAGTAAAAGATATTTGCTCCAAGGGAAAGGGGAACAGGTGTGGTATATACAAAATATATACAAAAAGTGCTTCTACAAATATATTAACAA